ATGCACTGGTTAGAACAGTTAGATGTTTTGCTTGCAGCATCATGTTTCAAAGACTGGCATCTAATGGAAGGGAGTTTGAAGAGCATACAAGGTTACACATTAATGAGTATGCTAATGCTGGTTTGAGAACCATGGTACTTGCATATCGCCAACTTGAAGAGGTTGAATACCAGAGGTTTAATGAGGAGTTTACAAAAGCCAAAAACATGATAATTGCAGATCAGGAGAAAATAGCTGAAGCTGTAGCAGAAACAATTGAGAAGGATTTGATACTGCTTGGTGCAACAGCTGTTGAAGACAAACTGCAAATTGGGGTACAAGAAAACCATAATTAGCTTCAGATTCGTTAGTATATTGCATCAACTCTTGCTTGGACTACGGGTTTCAGGATAAGAATTGCCGTTGTTTGACTGTGGTGGTTGATTGCTCTCTCTCTCTCTCTCTCTCACATGCGACTTTTGATGTGTCGTATGAAAACACGATACTACATTCTATGCTGGTGCTATTGTCACATCATGTTGTGTGTTTCGTTGTGGAGAAAAGAACTGCCTTTCAGGAGTTATTAAGTTTTAGAACTGACATTTGCTCTGTGGATGACAGGTTCCTGAATGCATCGACAAACTTGCACGAGCTGGAATAAAAATTTGGGTTTTGACAGGAGACAAGATGGAGACTGCAATCAATATAGGGTACCATTGTAGAGTCTGACAAGGTAAAATTACAGTCTATTGTCCATTATGAGCACATTTCTGACTATGGAAATTTGTCTTTCAGTTTCGCATGTAGTCTGCTTAGGCAAGGAATGAAGCATATCATAATCAACTCGGAGACCGCAGAATTTGATGCACTGGAAAAATCTCTAAATGAGTCAGCAGCTAGTGAGGCAAGTCTTACTCCTCTTAGAATGCATCTTATTGGAGTACAATGGACCATTCAATAGGTAATTTGACAGAATTTGTTATCCATTAAATGGTCATCTATGTTGTATATGCAAAACAGGGTAGAATTTGAGTTCTATGTGTTTTTGCTGCAACATTTTCTTCTGTAGATGTGGAAATCAGAAGGTATGAGACATGATTGATTGAGAGTCGAGAGAATATCTATCTGATATTGGAATACCTGTAAGGGAACATATCCAACTGAAAGGAACTCCAGAAACCTAAATTTCTTACCTATTTGTTCTCTTTTGGACCTTCTCAGTCAGCTTAAAATGATATTGGTTCTCATTCTATTCATTCTTTGGTAGCTGGCTTTCTTGAAGAGATGCTATCTTCTTCAGCTGCCAGCGTGAATAATTTTTTACAGGAGCCAGTCTAGATCCAGGACACATAATCTCCATAGGATTTTAAAATCTCTTTTTGAACATGTGGCATGGATCTAGACCTGCTCATATAAATAATTTTTTTTACCATCAATGTAGGAAATGTTAATTCTAAGTCTTTTCAATCTTCAGTTAATATCCCATTGGGAAAGAGAGTTTCCAGGAATAAACCTTATGCCATCTTTGTTGTGTCATTTTGACTTTACAAATCTCTTTGGATGAATTGAAACTAAAAAACTTCTACTTCAAGTTTTGCTTTCTCTCTTCCCGTGTACTGTGGGTCCCTATTGTGACTATTTCCTGATGCTCGTGGTAATAACTTGTCCTGCTAACACTAAAAGTTGGTAAAAATAAATATAAACTTTTGTTTAAAAGTATATCATCACCTACTAGCCTCAGTTTGACCTTTCTATTCAATCAAATTTCCCTCCTGAAATGTTGGTGTTACCCCTAGAAGATGATGACCAAAAGGATGCTACAAAAGTAGGTATTTATCAAAATGACATTCTTGCCCATTAAAACTTAAATATGCTAGTGCTATTCTTCTTTCCAGTTGAATCATCACAGGATTAAGGTAGGGCCTTTGCACTTATTGTTTGTTATATCTCCCACGTTTGAGATCATTTGATCGTGGACAGAAAAAAATTTACAGAGACACATTTTTTTAGGTGGTAAAAATCTCCTTTTGATTAGCAGCATATGCCTGATATGCAAGCATTTATAATGCTATCTAGCATGGCCTAAAGTTATTTGATCTAATTGACTTGTTCAAGAGCAATTTCAAGGAATTTATGATCTAAGTGGGAAACCTGATGTAAGGATATGTTCAACTGTCGAAATCAGATTTCTTCTAACATTCAAGTAATCAAAAGAGTTTGCATGAACTCTTCTTCTGTATAATTCTTCAAGATATGAGGACCTTTTTTATTTTTCATTCAGCATCTTTTCAAGTAATGTACAAGAGACACTTGATCACTACAACTAGTAAGGGAGAAAGTTAAATCAGCAACCATGTCTTGCTCAGGTCGCACGTTAGGTGTATTAGGCAACTAATACAAGATTCTATGCAGGCCACCAGCATGAAAAATGATGGAAGTAATTGGAATATTGCGAGCCTTTTACTTTTTATTTGTTTTTGAGGTGAAGTATAAGTAATTACAGATTTAGCTTCATCAAATTCCTAGTTTTGTTCGCACAAAATATGTTGTGATTGTCTGTATTGTGAGCTTGAATGAACTTCATCTGTTGCATAGGCACTCAAGGCTAACATCTTCCATCAGATAGAGAAGGCAAATGACCTACTTGCTTCATCAAACGAGTCACTTTCCCTGATCATAGATGGAAAGGCCCTTACTTATGCCCTGGACATTGATGTGAAGGACTTTTTTTTGGAGCTTGCAATTAGCTGTTCAACTGTTATATGTTGTCGCTCAACACCTAAACAAAAAGCACTAGTGAGTAAGCTATTCCTTTTTCCTTATGTTGGTCTCTTCAGCTTTGCTTTTGATGGATTATTCTAATTTAACTTTTTGGTTCTTCAACCGTGTTTGAACTTAACCTTCTTGTTGATTATTTAGGCCTTACACCAGTCAAAAATAGTTAAACCACCATCAAAGATATTGAGCTTCAAAGACTGCTTTTAAATTTATCTGTACATATCAAGTTTCAAGTGTTATTTTTGAATAATACTGCAGGTTACAAGACTTGTAAAACTGAAAACTCGTAAAACAACACTTGCAATTGGAGATGGTGCAAATGATGTTGGGATGCTTCAAGAAGCAGACATTGGTGTTGGTATAAGTGGTTTTGAAGGAATGCAGGTAAAAGCATTCTTTAGACATATAGTTTGGCCATCTGTGCAAGTTATATTTGCCTATCGACTTGGATCTTGCAGTTATGAATCTCTCTCTCTATGTGTGATGCAATTTTTAGGCAGTTATGTCAAGCGATATAGCAATTGGACAGTTCCGCTATATGGAGCGCTTATTACTTGTACATGGTCATTGGTGCTACAGAAGGATCTCTTTAATGGTAATAGCTTCCCTTGGGCACCCATCTCCTAAGAGTCGTTTATCTGTTTTGCATCAATATTTATGCCTTGAGTGCAGAAGGAAATAAGTTCCGGCACCGCAAATGTGTTAGCAAAATTTCAGCAGTACAATGTCAAGCTAAAGAATAATGTATTTGTCCTAAAATCTTATGGTGTTGAGTCTGGAGTCAGTGCAATCCCAGTTGCACGATTCATGGAATTTAAGGAACATGCTTCACTTGTTATTGCAACTATGCTGTGCGACTTTGAAATGTATTCATATACACGTACATACATCATGTACAGAAAAGTCAAATTTGAGAAAAAATAAAGGAAAAAAGAAACTTTTGAATCTCCTCTTTTGTTCATTCTGCAGATCTGTTATTTCTTTTACAAGAATATAGCATTTGGATTCACTCTTTTCTTCTATCAAGCGTATGCATCTTTCTCCGGACAAACTGTGTACAACGAGTGGTGTTTGTCATTATATAATGTCTTGTTTACATCTCTCCCCGCAATTGCCCTTGGAGTCTTTGATCAGGATATACCTGCACGACTATGTCTCAAGGTAATGTAGAAGCTTCCTACTGTCTTCAGTTTTTGACATTTTGCCAAGTAGCAGGGCCTGATAAATTGACGCGAAGATTATCTCAGAGTTACATTCTGGCTTGCAGTTTCCAGTACTTTATCAACAAGGTGTACAGAATGTTCTTTTTAGCTGGTTCCGGATCATTGGGTGGGCATCCAACGCAATTTTTAGTTCCATCTGCATCTTCCTTATTTGCATTCTTGGATTGGAGGATCAAGCTTTTCGTAGAGGTGGTGAAGTCGTTGGACTAGAAATACTTGGCGCAACTATGTACACTTGTGTGGTGTGGGTGGTGAACTGTCAAATGGCTCTTTCTATCAATTACTTCACATACATACAGCATCTCTTTATATGGGGAGGAATTGCACTTTGGTATATATTTCTTTTGGCGTTTGGAGCCATGGACCCCAGCATTTCAACAACAGCCTTCATGGTGTTCATTGAAGCCTGTGCACCATCGCCATCCTTCTGGTTAATTTTACCCCTGGTTCTGTTTGTGGCTCTTCTGCCATACTTCACTTACACAGCAATCCAAATGCATTTCTTCCCAATGAGCCACCAGATGATACAGCTCATGTATGCTCAATCTGATGATACCGAATTTGTTTAGACTAGAGAATCAAAAGACCTTCAATGCTACGTCTCATACTGCAAGCAGAAATCAGTTTCTGTCCAGGATCTTAATGAATGAGGCGAGTAAAAGTTTTCCTCATGTTGATGATAAAAGTGGTACTTAACCTTGCTGCAGCATAGGAAATTACGTTGCATATTTGCAAGTTTTGTAGTCCAAGCATTTGTAGGTTATCATGAGCCGATTTATTCATGTCAGAGAAGATTGTTGTACTCATAGGTAGTGAGGTTGTAAATGAAGCTATAGAGAGGCCTATATTCGTGGCTTTGAGCAATACTGATATTTTGTATACCTATGCATGTATTCTGTCACAGAAGGGAAGTTCGGCTTATTTCGTCGTTAAATATGAGCATTTAGAACTTCTGATAACATCAAAACATCAAAAACGAAAGAAGGAAAGGAAACATCCTCGTTGAAAAAAGTAAGAAAATGAAAAAAATCACCGCATACTTCCTTTCTCTCCTCTATGGAAAGGCAGCAAAGGATGTTGCATCAGAAGACTCTTCTTGATCATATATATACATTTGGTTCCTACAGACTAAACCCTCTCTTATATGGTATATGAATTATCATCTTGATAAATGAATACAATTATCTCACAGCCATAAAAAAAAAAAAAAAAGGAAAATCATGTGTGGTGGATGAATAACCATCAACGAGTACAAATTGACCGAAAGATGGATGGATACATTCATCATGCCACGTTTAATAGCTGATAATTATCATCAAGGCCCAGAAAATCTGCAGCAGATTTGGCCATGACGGAAGCGAATTCATTAAAGCTAATGACCCCATCTCCATCTGTGTCAGCCTCTTGGATCATCTCCGTCAGCTCGCGGTACGTTAATGGCTGTCCCATTTTGGCCATTGATCCTGCAAGTTCAGCCAATGTGATATATCCGTTCCCATCACGATCAAACGAATGGAAAACCTTCAAAAGCATATCTTGATTTATCCACAGCTCTTCATTCAAGTGCGGCATTATAGCATTGACCAACTCATCAAATTCCACAGTCCCATTACCGTTTGAATCCATGTTGGATAATAAAACATGGAGTTGATCACCCGATGGTTTTAGCCCCAGAGATCTTAACAATGCTGCGAGTTCTAGAATGGTTAGGCTGCCATCAGAATCCATGTCAAATCTTGAAAATATTTCTCTAAGCTGTTTGAGTTGATCAATTTTGGGCAAGCTCATCTTCTTTCACAAGAAAATTAACTGTTCGATTGGAATATGGGAATGATCGGATAATCATTCATGCAAGATCACGAAAATGATGAAGAAGAAGCCGAAGGCACGTTGTAAGAGAATATGGTGCTAAAACTGCAAGGTGCCTAAAAAAAAGTGTTTTATTTGTTTTAAAGTTTGAGGCTGTCTAAACTATTCTATGTACGTACTTGTGTTATCTGCAATGTCGCGTCGGTGGATTTGTTTTTGCCTTTAAAGGAGGGTTGAGATTCCTTGCACAGTTGTACCAGTAGTTTTTGTGCCTTTTTGGTCACTTCAATAGTTCCAAGAACCTTCTGTCAATTAATAATTGTTAGTTACATTACATAGTTCCATGAACCTACGAAAAATGTCAATTGTCCTTTGGTTCTTGTGGGTACTGGATACATGTGCATGACCCCCCAACGGCAAACACAAGCACCTGTCTGGTTCCAAGAAGATTGATCTCAATTCTCAAGTTTTTAAGTAACTGGCTAAAACCATCATGAATTGCTGAGCTCGAAATCACTTTTCATACTTTCACCTTCATGGGAATTTGGTAAACCAAGATTTTCCTTTATAATCTGATATGCAAATCTAACACATATATTCTTACAGGAGATGATAAGTGGGATATATTTTATTAGGATTCATAGGCTAAGGAGATTCCATATCCTCATATGTTTCACTTTTTAGTGGTTTGAGGACATGTAGCAGAAAAAATTAGCGGATCTCATAGTGCTTTTGATGCGTATTTGCTCAAGGCCTAATTGCATGGGGAAATCGTCTGTGAATTTAACTCCATTCAATGGCCTGCTTCGCTCCTCACTGTCACTCGTTGGTTGAAAATTTAATGTTTCTGATTGGAGACAATTGAATAAAAAGCAGCAGAGTCAGCTGAGATTTTCAGGCATTTTAATAGACCAACTTTTCCTTCAGATAAGATAATGAATATTCAGGGGTAGAGCCCTGTGACGGATCAAAGATTGATAGTAATTTTTATTTGGATCCTTTGGATTTGGATCTCTCAATATACTTTTGAAAAGTAGTTCTAAAGTTAAAACTTTCATGGCCCTTAATCTCTGTGGAACTGACATCGATTACATAGCACATGAATTTTGCTCTTTTTGCACATAATTTTACTCATTAACCAAAGTAAGTGGAGGCAAAGAAAACAAATGAACCAAGATTTAGATGGTTACCTGGCAATTTCTGCTCCCAAATTAACACAGACCCAAGAATCTAGAGCACCAAAATCTTCTAAAGTCATCCTTGTCTACTATTAAGAGTCTCACTACAGGAAACATCATAATCAATTTACATATCATGATCCAAATATGCAGATGCTAGTGCTACCACAAGTTAATTAAACTGCCAAATTTGACAGATTCAGTTCAAGAACTGCTGATCGTCAGCTCTTTCACCAGATTCTTGGGCAAGCATGTCTTGAAAAATCAATTTAAACGCTTTCTTGAGTCTTACCATCATTGCTTTCCGCTGCCTTGTTGCCTAAAACTTCAGCATCATTATTAGCGCAGGCGCACCATTTCCTTCTCAACCAGCCAAGACAACCTCCATGCTGGATGTTCTCCGGCGGTGTAACGCTTCGACCTTTGCAAATCCTTCCCGCAAAGCATGAGATGACGGCAAGAACTGTCAGGACAGAAATGACTGCAAAGAATGGTCCTATAGATCCTGAAGAATGCCAAGCACTTGTGGTTGCTGACACTGATACAGGATTAGGCACTGATTCTTGAGGCTGCAGCTGCTCTTGATCTGGGGTCACTGATGGAGTTGTTGCCATTTCATACGAGTTAGGTGGAAATAATTCAGGGAATTCAGAGGAACATATAGGAAAAATCTTGAGGCTGGAAGAAGATTGAAATCATGCAGTATTTATTAATCTGTAACACTAGTCCATGCTTTAAATTTGCTTTTAGGTGCATGAGTGGAGGACAACATGGAAAGGGCAAAGCTGCAGTGTCTTTTATAACAAATTGAACTTTGCATGCTTGTTTTTCCATACAAGCTTATCAAAAATGAGGCTTTTTGCAAAAAGATGATAAAGAGATTCCTGGTTAAAAGTGAATCCATGTGGTTTGCTTGATCTTTTTCTTCCTTAGTTTTCTTCACGATGACTCAGAAAAGTTGATACATTGCGTAGAAGTGTATCTACAAAAGAACACATCAGCCTAGAATTGAAGAGGGGAACATTACTAAAAACAAGGAAAATTGACAAACACAAAAAATAATTTATAGGAAAAGAAGTAATGGATCTGTACTCGTGTATATTACTATCTTGCCTTGAATTTCATGACTTTTTTCCCTTTCTCTTTTCCTTGAAAACCCATGATTGGAAATCTTAGGTCCGAAGTTATTGTCAGAATGTAGCAGACATAAGCTGTTTTTTTCAGAAGGTACCCGAGTTTGATGGATCAATCTGTTTTGAAACCTGTACTTGATCTCAATTGTGGCGCAAGAAACATATCTAAACTTCACCATAATTTCATGGCTTGAAAGGAACCAAAAAGGAAAAAAAGATGAAAAAACTATGGAATAGTTCATACAATCACACCAGTCAGCAGTGATCATTTGTTAAGAACCATTACAGCCTGGTTGAATTCTTGAGCATCATGTCTCAATGAATGAACAGTCACAGGCTAATTTTTTGGACCGTTTACTCTTTTTTTTTTTTGGTTATCTAAATCACCTCAGTTGGGCCAGACCCCTTATGAACCACTCAAATCAAAGCTTGTTTTCTTTGATTTCTTTTCTTTTACGTTACTTGGATATTTAAGTTGCATCCCTTTCTGAGGGATTTTATTTGAATATAGTATTTATTAGCATAATTAAGAAAATCTCTAAAAATATCCTGCAGAATGCATGGCCGATGCTGGACCCTTTGGCTATTGCATTAATTGTTGCTAGTAAAAGATTTGATCCATTCGTCCACCACCAACAGTCCTGACTTGTAGATGTCATTTGTGTACACACCAAATTTAAGGGTTTTTTTATTTTTTATTTTTTTTTTATTTCGGAGTGTAGATCATCTATACACACCATATATATAAAGCGAGAGAAGGGTGGTTGGGTGTAAACATTTTGTTGTGTACTTTCATATTTACCCTTGCAAAAAATTATACTTATTAACTACCCAAACACACGTTGTCAGCATAACTACCTATTAGCATTTTTTAATTTACTATTTAAACATATTTTTCAGTATAGCTACTCTTAAGCAGTAAATGCCAACATAACAATCATTCCATCAAACAAATTTAAAAGATTAAAATTTGCATTAATAATGAAAATTTTATACAAAATTCATTCACTATAAATATTAGACATTCCTTTCTTGCACACACATCGAGTGTGCATTTGTTATTAGTATTATTTACTAGTGGTGATTATGGGACTCATACAAAAGAGTTTACAAGTCTTGTTCTTTGGGCTGTACGAATTTTATTTTACTTTATTTTTGACATTACATGGCAACTATGGGAGAAGAGAAATAAGTCCAAATGGAGAAATAAGGTTCGTAACTCTACGACGGTCATTTAAACAATTCATCAATCTTTTCCAATTATTTTGGTTAAATACGGATGATGGGTTTTATCATTGTACGATAACAAAAGTGCAGCTAAGGTTTAGTTTATGTTGAGGAGATTTTCTTTTTTCTTATTTTTTTTGTTTTGTTTTGGTTATATGTTGAGAAGATGAGCTCGAAATTCATTAGACATAGCATGATATTCACTACGATGTTTGATATCAAAGTATCAGTTTGCAAAAGCAATTTTTTTTTTTTTTTATAATCCGAAACATGCCCTGATCCGAACCCTTTGGATCCGAGCCGGCACACCAAATTCGGAGGGAAGCCGACAGCCCCATACAGCTTTCCCGGACGAGTCAGGCAGGATATGCGATACAGCGGGCATGAATCGAACTCTGATCAGTAGAAAAACCAGCAACACCCCTCAACCGCTGCGCCATATGAGGAATCAATACTACCAAGGAATCGTCCTGTAATAACAAGTCTTGTTAAGAATTCTCCATCCATACAATAAAATTCTTTTGGGATTATCTGCAATTTTTGACTCTCTTGTCCTATGATATGCATCCATGTCGCCATTAACTTTATCTTGGTCCTGTTGTAGATTCAAAATGTGATGTAGTTGACGAATCAAATCACGAACTCCTATAATATTATCCAATTTGCAAATAAGGACAAAATGCAATAGAAACTTTGTCGTACCTATTCAAATTCTCCATCATACCCATCTTCAATGTGTAAATACACATATTAACTCAATTATAAATCTCCCAAGAGTTTTACAACAGCACATAAGGAAGAAAAAAAAAGTAAAAATTACATACCTATAGCACAGTTTAACTCATGAAAATAGCAAATAACTGGTTGGTGTACTTTTGTTGCATAATAGCACCAAAGAAAAATATACTAAATTTTACCAAGAAAACACAATTTGGTATAAGTTTTGATGTGCACTAATCCAGTAAAAAAATAGTGCATTATATATTGTAAGTCTTACACCAACTAAAGAATATTACTAGAATGATACCAACCAAAGAGAATAATGTGACTGTAATAATAGGGGTTTTGTGTAAGAGAATATCCTGCACCATGACACTAAGAGTCATTTGGAAATTATATATAAAAATTGTATAGTGCAAATAAAAATTGTACACGTATTAATGTTTTGTCTTTATAGTATTAATGAATCTTGAATTAATTAAACTGTATGGTGCAAATATGCTTTGTTGTAAAATTCTGGTGCATCTTGCTAGTGTATCTAATGCCTAATCTACTGACAAAGATAAAAAAAATTATTTAAATTTAAGATTCTAATCAGAAAACACAGGAATCCATTAGTTAATAATCATGTATCCAATGCAGTTAAAGTCAGAGGTCTTAGGTTAAGGTTGGGTTTCTAAGATTAGAGGTTTTGGGTTAAATTCTCTATTTCTTCTATTCGCTTCTTAAATCACGCCCCTCTCTTACTTTAAAATTTTATTTAATTAAAAAAAACTTGTGATGATCTTGGAGATCACCGAATGCCAAGTCCATTACATTATATACTATTAGGTATGGATGAATGACAACTAACTTAAATTTAGATTTGGATACAAATTTTGCATATTATGTATATCATGCATCTTACCATAATGATGTACATGCTACCATTATGTACAAAATTTACTCATTCGTTATTGGTACTGGTGATAGGGCACACCCTATGTGTGTGCCATTTAGGAACAATCACTTTTATATGGAAGAATTTAATATAAAATTTTCATAAACAAAAAAAAAATCTTTGATCTTTTTAAAGTTTTTTTAATAGAATTTTAATAAACTTAATGGTTACCGTATTTGTGAGTGGTTATGGGTGAAAATTAGTTACGGTTATGATAATATAGGCAACATGTAATGAGATGATAAAGCCATAATTTCGTGATTGTGAGGGTAAAGTTGAAAATTCAAAAAGTGACAAAAAATTTTGCATTGAATTCAATGCTCCCTACATACATAGTATAAACTAGTAAGTGAGGTACACACTCTTTTTGCATATTTTAGAAAAAGGGAAATAATAAAAATATATAGAATAAAAAATTAGTTTAGGAGATTTTTGGAAGGTGATGCAATGCTCATAAGTAAATTAGTTAATCACTTCATCAAGAGTGTAGTGATAGTTATGTAGTGGTAGTTGCATAGGAGTGAAAGGTTTTTCAAATAAGATGTGGATAGATAATAATAAATATTGAAAGAGTAACTTTGGAAGGGTAAATATCAACACTTTTTGTTTACATCAAATCTTTGCTCACGTTGTTTTTAATAATCTCACACTTTATGTGTAGATTGTAGATTGCAGTGTTAGTTACGTAGGGGTGAGATATTTTTCAAATAAGATGTGGATAGATAATGATAAATACATAAGAGTGAGAGGTTTTTCAAATAAGATGTGGATAGATAATAATAAACATTGAAAGAGTAATTTTGGAAGGGTAAATATCAACACTTTTTGCTACATCAAATCTCTACTCACTTTTTTTTTTTTTTGAAATAATCTCACACTTTATGTGTAGATTGTAGTGTTAGTTACGTAGAGGTGAGATGTTTTTCTGATAAGATGTAAATAAATAATGGTAAATATTGAAAGAATACTTTAAAAAAATAAATATTAACACTTTTTATTAACACCAAATCCTTATTCATATATATATATACTAGGGAAGGACAGCCCGCGCGACCCGCGGGGATTTGGTGCTTGTGATTCAAGATAATTAATAATTATTGTTTAATATTTTGTAGTATAGGAACTGAAGTATGATGATTTTATCATGTGATTTTAATAGAAAAATCATAAGTTACATAGTGAGTCAATAAAAATAATATGCAATGAGACATCCTTATCGTTATACTATATAAGAATCCATTGTGATCAAAGGTTATGTTTGAATTTCAACTGCAAAGATAATGGTAGTTTAAAAATGTAAGAATGTTTGAAATGTAATTTAAAAGTATCCAAAGGTCTCTTCTAAAACTTATCCAAGATGATAAAACATTTTAAAGTATCAATTGGACCCTTCATCTCTCGAATCTATATATGTTCGTGAAAGATCCCTCAAGCAATGCTTCTGATTTCTCCCTCGACTTAAGCTCAACCTGAATTATCAAGTCAAGTTTATACATCAATCACTTTGGACCCGGTCTAATCTAAAATAATTTTATTTTTGACTAATTATTTATATAATTTGATGGGTATAATACGACTTAATCACATGTTTCTTATAGAGACAATAATGCCCAAAAATGATAGATAGATAAGAAACTTAAGTGGTCTTTTTCAAAGTTTTGTAGAAACTATTCAGATTTGGTGTTTTTTGCTAGGGGCATTTTTTTATAATCTCATAAATAAGTTCAAATCTGCATAATTGTTAAAAATCTAAATTGAAACTATCTTGATTATAAAAAATTGGTGCAAATAATATTTTCTAAATTTGAAATTGTAGAAAATGGTAACTAAAATAAGAAGAAATTCCTCATATGAATTCGAATTGCAAACTATAGGTAGAAACTGCTTAATGATATATTCCAATGTGTACTTGTATAAGTATTCAATATAACATCTCTACTGAATTGACTCGTTTGAACTATGAATAATAGTTGCTTCAATCAAATCAAGCAACATTATTTATCATTGTACAACATACAATTATGAGTAAATGAATTAATACAATGCAAGCAAAATGGTGCTGTAGCTAAAGCAT